CAAATAGGCTTGAAAGATATTTTCTTCCATTTTTCTTTCCAACAAGCCCTGTTACCCTTTTATACAAATGTGCTGGATCTGAGCAGATGTTGCATACCACCTGCTCAAAATCTTACAAAATAATATCCCTGAAATTAGTACTTTTAAAAGTATACTTTTTTCTCATACATCTGTTCGGTTCTCTACATTTATTTCCATTTTGACATGCATCTTTTGTCTCAAACAAATTCTTTCCTTTTCTTTCATTTAATGTAGCTAGCAAAACACATTTGAACAATTCTGAAATCACATTTTTGGCAGCCCAGACAAGCATTCAAATCCAGACAGGGAGAGAGAGAGAGAGAGAATCCCTATGTGTTCTCATTTTATAATATATCTGCTCATTTGTTTGTTTGCCTTGAAATATATCCAAAACAATTAGAGCTATATGTGCAATATTTGGCATAGATCCTACTGAGTACCCAATAAATGTATAGGTTATCTCTAAAAATTGTTTTTCTAAAAGAGGGGGTGTTTGTTTTTCATTAAAAAACATAAAATAAAGCACACAAAAAAGAGGCATTGTGGCACCTTAAAAATTAGTTGCCAACATAAATAGATCCATTCATTGCAACTCAAAATCTGTTCCTCAAGAGCCTCGCTTGTTTGTTCTAAAAATCTCCAAAATAATAAGAGCTAGAAATATAAGATTTAGAATAGATAGTACAATTTCCCAGTTTACACAACAACATTGGCTACATCTCAAAATTGGTTCCTATAGTGACCCATGTGTGTGTTTGTCTTGAAAGATCACTGAATTAGAAAGGTCTAGAAACATAGACGTTTGAATGAATACAGTACAATTCCCAACTAAAATAACTGTCCTGTCCCTCCAGCGTTGCCTGGGGGCTGTACTGCAGTGGATGCAGGAAAATGGGCTGAGGCTGAACCCGGACAAGACGGAAGTGCTGAGGGTGGGCACCCCTGAGGTTGGTGGTCTTGGTGACTCTCTCACATTTGGGGGTGGGTGATCCTGGCTGCTAAGAGTGGGGTTTGCAGCTTGGGGGGACATCTGGACCCGGCGCTCACCATGGAAACACAGGTGGCGTCAGTAGTCTGTACTGCCTTATTCCATCTCTGGCAGATGGCCCGGCTGCGACCCTACCTTGACACGGGGGCACTCACTATCTTGGTACATGCGCTCGTAATCTCAAGATTAGACCACTGTAACATGCTCTACATGGGGCTACCTTTGAGGCTGATGCGGAAACTTCAGGTGGTGCAGAATGCAGCGGCCAGACTCCTTACCGGAGTGAGAAAACACCAAGACATTTCTCCTATTCTGGCCATGCTGAACTGGCTGCCCATCCGTTTCTGCATTGACTTCAAAGTTCAAATGCTTACCTATAAGGCCCTAAATGGTTTAGGACCTCGATACTTAGCGGAATGCCTGCTCCCACCAAGATCTACTTGGATCACCTGCGTGGTTCAGGAGGTGAGGCTGAGGAGCCTGATGCCGAGGGAGGCCTGGAGAGAAAAGACGTGAAACCGGATCTTCTCGGCGGTGGCTCCTCGCCTTTGGAATAGCGTTTCACTTACCGATCTTTGCATTGCGATGTTTTTAGAACAGCTGATCGGCGGTTACAAAATGGCCGCTGGGTAACAAAAATGGCCGCCACAAGCATTTTCGCACACTGCCCTCACTTACCGAGGCGGCGAAAATGGCGGCGCTATGGAGGATCTTCGCTCAACTGTGAGTTTTTGCCCCACAGGAACGCATTAAACGGAGTTTAATGCGTTCCTATGGGGTTTTCCTATCCATATAGCGATGTTTCCGGATAGTGACAATTAATCCGGAACGGATTAACGTCGCTATGCGGGGCACCACTGCATCTGTTACTGTTTGTATTGTAATGCTTTTGTGTCATTTTAATTTATTTATGTTGTGTTGTAAGCCGCCCAGAGTGGTAGAATATACCAGATGGGCGGGATATAAATAAAATAAAATAAAATAAAATAAAATAAAATAAAATAAAAATAAATAAATAAATAAATAAATCATATTTCAAGATTGGTTCCTTCCAAATGTCAGCAGGTATTTGCTGGATTCTTCTAAGCTAGCACACTCCTAAAAGAGCACCTAAGGGTGGGCAGTGGGGTGAGGTTGGAACTCACAGGCCAAAATTCTGTAGCACAGCTCTGTTTTCACAACCGCAGTGATGCCAGCAGCAGCAAATCCAGCACATTTAAGCCTGATTAAAGCCCCAGTTTGGGAATTTCTGGGTGCCTACACATTTGTCACATTGTGTATAAGCTGGATACACAGCCAAATCACCTTTAACCAGCTGCAATTTGCTTTAAACATCTGTGATTTACCACT